GCCTAAACGTATGCACTATTAAATGCTTATGGCATGTTATGCGCAGCCTCTATTGATCTGTTGCGCTAGCCCGCGGTCTCTGGCTCTTCGAGCTGGTGCACAATTGCGCTCGGGTATAAAAAATACTCTCGCGTATTATATATACATAATTTTCAAGTAGGTGGCAACCCCACTCAAACAAAAAATAAAATCTTATTTCACATGCAGAGACCATATCCTTTCATTTGGTACCCTTTAAATTTTTAAAAAGTGGCAACCCTGCTCAAAAAGTAATACATTATTGAACATCTAAAAGCCGAGCCCTTTTATTTTACACCTCATTTCTTGTAATCCGGCGAACAGTGTGTATCTAATAATTTTTTAAACAGGTGGCAACCCGTTAGGAATTTAAAGTACCAAAGATAATATTCCTATCGATACAGATTATATTTAAAAAAATCTCGTAAAAATCCGTTCTGCAGTTTTTGAGATTAGCGTGGTCAAAATATCTCGACTTTCTTTTTTACTGTGTATAGAAGATAGTAATTTTTAAATAGGTGGTAACCCTATTCAAAAAATGAAAGCGTTTGTACATGCGAAGGCCAGGCCCTTTCATTTGGTATCTCATTTTGTAATCCAACTAACGGCGAAAATCTTTATACTTTTTAATAGGTGGCAACCGTACTCAGAAAAATTATACATTGTTGTGCATGTAGAGGTTAAGTCTTATCTTTTGACAGTGAAGGTACAGAAGTGATGCCTACGCTTATTATAATTGAATATAGTAATTTTAATAACAGATGGCAACCCCATGAAAAAAACCTTAATGCTTTTCTAGAGGCAAATCCCTTTCATTTGACACCTCATCTTTTGTAATCCAACGAACGATGCGGATTTTATAGTTTTTTTAAACAGGTGGCAACCCTATTCAAATTCTAAGTAAAAAAGGTCACTCTTCTATCGATACAGAGTATATTTGATAAAATCTCGTCACAATCCGTTCAGTAATTTTCGAGATTACCGCGTACAAAAATCTCGGACTTTCCTTTATGTTTACTATGTATAGAAGATATAGATTCTGAAACATACCAAATTTTGTTGCAAAATACTAGCTGGGGTACTTACAATACACTACCTGACACGCTCACATACATATAAGGGTAACTCCAAAATCTGAACCACCAATGCAGATGGAAAGACCACAACCTTCACCCTGTTTCAGTATGATTGGCTCCACGTTATCCGGTTGTATTTCCGGTAAAATATCTAATTACTTTATCCACAAATCTTTAATGTTAATTACGTCATCAAAGCTCTCCAAATTTCTCCACCAAATTCTTCCTAAACATTTACAATTAGGAAGTTCTTTGGTTGATTGCAGTGCTTCCTAGTCGCAGCCCAGGGCACAATTAGCCCATTGTTGCGACATTTTGGTGCATTTCTCGCGGAGGATAATTTGTCTATGCACATTCTATGTTGATATGGCGAACCATTTCGATTCTCTAATGAATCTACCGATTTCGTTTATGTTGGCTCCTGATAGGTCAGTTAGTTGTGCTACCAGAAGTTTTCCTTATGTTTTTGGGCTAATATTCTAAACAGCTGGACATTCACAAAGGAAGTGCTGGACACTTTCTTCGCTATCTTCTAGCTAACAGCTGCGGCAAATCATATTATGGGGTAGACCTATTTTGGCCGCATGTTTGCCTATGAGCCAGTGCCCCGTGATGGTTGCCACAATTCTGAATACCTCTGGTTTTGATTAGCAAAGCCGGTCCAAGGTCTTCGTCCTGTTGTAGACAGGCCTAGTTTTCTCGATAACTTACAAGTCTGTATATCTGAGACCACCTGCGTCTAGCCAGTGCAAGGAAATGCGCGTTAATCTCTCTTTGGACTATTCCAACGGAAGAAACCCAGTAACACCGCTTGGGATTCATCCCAACCGGCTCCTGTCTTCTCATTGACTTCTTGCTATGTCCGGGAATCCAGACAAAATAAACGGTTGAGACATTATGAGCTCATTATCACTTTGCATTCCCTAACCAGCTTAGATTTGGTAACCAGTGATGCTATTGTCAATAGCGATGCCTGGCTGTCAGAGTATATTGTTGCTTGTCTCTTGTGCCCAACTGTATTGCCTAGGATTTTACAGGCTTCTAGTATCCCTAGAACTTCCGCTTGGAAGATGCTTGTAGAATTTCCAAACCGTAGAAAGAGAGCCACACCGAGTTCCTCGAAGTAGACTCCCGTTCCTACACAGCAGTCTATCTTGGAACCGTCATTGTGTAGAGAGATTGCCTCTCAGTCGGCCACTCAGTCTCTTCTCCAGTCCATTCTGGATGGGAATAACACTTGCACGTTACACCTGAAGGCCAAATTGCCTACTATTTACATATTTTGTCGGTCTAATTAATTGCATTTGGTTTATGATCAACCCATGTCCGAAGTGTCTAGTCTCCCAAAGGCCTAACTCTCTGAGTGTGGCCGCCGTTTTCATAGCTACTTGTTTCAGGTGAAGATCACCAGGGATTCAATTAAGGATTTTATTTAGCGCTTCTGTCACTTTCTTTGCAGTAAACTAATAGCTTTTGTCTTTTTTTTATAGTAAACAATTCAGTTTATTAAGAGTAATCTTTAAAATAATCTTGGCTAAAAGTTGCGAAGGACTATTTACAACGAGTCTCCTATAAAAATCTTCTGTGAAAGTCCCAGCATATGTTTCATTACGATTCATCCATTAAGTTTCAAGAAAAGTCAACTAAGTCTGATTACTACGAACCATTTATATTTTGAAAGTAAATATTAATGTACTTGTAACTACCCTTATATTTTTTTATATGTACAGACATACATACGTTCTTGTATTTGCGTAAAAATTGTAATAATCGTACTTAAATCATCGTAAATTATCCATTTTATCTGCATTAGTGATTTGACTACTGTGCCGGCAAATGGATTTTCCCGATTGCTATTCTCGTCAATTACCAGTGTTTTCGTCAGCGGTGACGCTGTCCGCATCATCAATACTGGATTCAGTGTTGTCAAAGTCATGTCAGCGCTTGGCAGATTAAGGCATTGACACATTGGCAGTTGTATGAGTATGTCATCGTAGTCATTTGTATTAATTTCACTAGACAAATACAATTACGGTACACAATGGCAAATACCCGAGGGACTGGGATCGAAGTGCTTATAAATACGCATGGAACGGCAGTGATTTATGTATTAGTTTTTGTTAAACAAAAAATTGGGTATTAATTTTAGTAGTTTAAAAACTGGGCATGTATTTTGCTAACCTGAGGACTAATTGTGTGTTTAAACCTGGACATACTTAAATACTCGCAAAGAGTTTTTCGACATTTAAAAATTGGACAAAAAATTTACTAATTACTGACTTTACGCATTTGTTTATTTTAAAACTGGGCGTCAAGTTTAGTTATTTCAATAATTGAAACAAGTTTTTGGTCATTTATAAACAGGACATAACTGGTTAAAGAGTTTTTTTTTACATAAACACTGGACAAAACTTTTGGATATTTAATTAGTGGCGACAAGTTTTTATCATTCAATTTTTGCAATTTCAAATTTGGGCAAACAAAATTTTTATTGAAAACTGTTTTTTGTTTACTTGCCATTAAGTTTCGTCAGTTTAAAAATTGGTTAAAGATTTTTTTTACAAAAATAATGGGCATAAATTTGGGATATTGAAATCGTGGCGGCAGGCTTGGGTGACTCAAAAATTTAAGATAAATTTTTGCAATTCGAAAATTTGTCAAAAATATTTTTTATTAAAAACTACCCTTTATTTTTTGTTTATAAAAGCTCGCCATAATGTTAAGTTATTTAAGTGCTGGGAATATATGTTTGGGATCATTTAAAAACTAGACATGTTTTTCCAACTCAAATACTGAGTGAATTTTTTTTTTTTTTTTTTAAACTCGACATTTATTTAGTTGCTTAAATACTGGAGACAAGTTTGTGTTCATTTACGCATTACCTAACCACAAATCACAAATTTTTGCAACTAAACAACTGGGCATATATTTTTTTGATTTAGAAAAATTTTATAGTTTTCTTTTTTATTTAGAGAAAGTTCTTGGTCACTTAAAGATTGAAAATAAATTTTTGTGCATTCAAAAATGGACATAAAATTTACATGTTTTCAAAAAAAAATGTTAGCCCTTGCGGTTCTGTTGAACGTTTGGCCGAGCCTTACCTCCGATTCCCGGTGTGCTTCTTAATGAGAAAGTTTTTTAGGTTCACCTAAAAAATGGTAATTTTCGAGACAAAAATTTTCAGCAATCGAACCTCGGTCCTATCGAGTGCTAGCAAAAATCGCTAATCTCTCGGGTTTGGCTTCATTTCAAATTTTGGCATACATTTTTTAAATGTAGGTACCAACTGTTTATTTCCAATTTTCAAATTTCAAAAAATCCATGTCCATTTTTAATGGCCAAAAGTTTGTGTGCAATTTTTAAATAATTAAAGGTCATGTCAAGTTTATAAATTACCTAAAAATCTGAATGCGGTTTTTAAATTACCAAAAAATTATGTGCGGTTTTACTTTGATGAGCTCAAATATTCTGTAAAACTGCGTTTACAATAAAGTAAAACATATATCGGTTTGTAAATATAACTATAGTAATTAAAAAATACACTCTTTTAGTCAATACCTAAGTATTTATACATTTGTGTGTTCATTCTTTACCATTACTCTCTTTTCATGTCTACACACTTGTCTCCAAAAATCTACAAAAATGCTACGAATTTACACTTGAATGCTTCATTTATCCATCCACACATCGATTACACCATTTGTGCGTACATTTGTGTCTACATGCACATGTGCAACTTCAACATCTTCGTGAATGCATCGGGAATTTTTTAACAAATTTTTCCACAAAATACCAACGGAAACCGTCTTCGAACAACTGGCTTGAATGCGCCGCTGCTGTTCTTTCATTATCTATCCACTTACTACTCCTTTACGCTGCTCTACTTTTGCCACTGCTCATCAATAGGAAACGTTTTTGTAATTGCTGCCATCATATTGGAACGTAACTTGCAGAATGTTGCCAATTATTTGGTTGCATCCCTGGCTGTTGCTGATCTATTCGTTGCCTGTCTGGTGATGCCACTGGGCGCCGTCTACGAGGTAAGCGAAGTGAATGCAAAAATGAAGACGAATACACAAAAAAAAGAAATTCGCACAATGTTATTTATTCTGAGCAAAATAAATGAAATGAAATGAGTTGCATGCATAAATTTTCATTGCGTTAAGAAAGTTTTTGCTTACATTATTGGCGAGACGCTTTAAGATACATTCAAGTATTTAGAAGGCGGTGCTAAGCATTTTCTCCAAATAACTTAAACCTACTTTTACTTGTAAAGCTGAAATTTTCCAACTGTTGCTGCTCATTGCTACACTTGACCTTTAATATGTACATACAAACTTATTCTTATATTTCATAAGCATTTAGAGCTCGCCAACTTGGGCACTTGAAAGCGCACTTGGTATTACAGAATTCTACTTAACTAAAATGCCCACTTGGCATGGTAAAACATTTGTCTACCTTGTATTTACTATATACATACATATATATGTGCACTGTATTCAGCAAGAATTTGTGAAGTATTAAATTTTCTTTTGAATTTTATAAACTATACCCTTCCGAATGCCAATTCCTCAAGTTCTGTTAAAATATTTGAGATATTCCTTAGAAATCAGCCAACAACACACAATCTTATAAGATTGTATATTCTTTTTTTTCTGGCATTTCATGCTACTTTAAATAAGCCGAAAACTCAGAGGCGTACCCACATTTCTAACATACAACTCATCTTTGTAGTCAACCTGTAACTTATTTCAATCCTTGAAAAAAATATATATTCTGTAAATATACACTAGGCGACAAATGAAAGTGTACACCTTGTTCGAATATACATATATTCACAATTTTTTTTTATGAACAATTCTTTTAATGAAAAATTGTTTGCATTAATTATTTATAAAAATATAGTTCATTCAAAAATATAAAGCATGCAAATCAAAGTTTCACACTCTGGTTATATAAATTTCACAAAAATTCAAAAAATTGTTTCTAGAAAATCTTCCAGTATGCAGTTTGGTAGCGCATTGAATTTTAGTGCAAGTTACAACCGGCTACAAAATCGCGCAAATTTTTGAGAATTTTTTTTTTTTGAGACTACTTTTGAGTTTTTTTTATAGCAAGTGCAATTTACAAAACCTACCGTAGAATTTTTAAAATTTTGTTAGTAATTGTCTCCCGCAGTTTATTTCATAAGCAATTTATGTTTGAAATTTGCACTTCATTATACTAAAATTAAATGTGCTACAAAATTGCATACTCAAAAGTTTTCTAGAAACTCTGAATACACAATTTTTTGAATTTTTGTGAAATTTATGTAACTAGAGTGAGCAATTTTGATTTGTATGGTTTATATTATACAATGGACTATATTTTTATAAATGATTAATGCAAAAAACTTTTCATTAAACAATTTTCTGGAAATGCGGAATAAAATGTTGAAAAACATAATGAATACTTTTTGAGTTTTGTCAGCTTTATATAAAGTATGATTTATTTTTTATTTATAGAATCAACTATATTTTCATAAATAACTAATGCAACAAATTTTTATTGCTTATATTATACATAAATAGAATGCAATATATTTTCATAAATAATTAATGCAAAAATCCTTCATGAAAATAATGGTGAATATTATATTTGAACAAGGAGTACACTTTCTTTTGTCGCCTAGTGTATATCTTTGTATGTATGCACGCACTTATATTGGCAAACATTTTTAAAGGCTACTCCCCTTACTCCATCTCTTTCCTACCTGGAGTTGCTGAGTTGAATATAACACGAACGGTCAAAGAATAGGCCTATAAAAGTGAATACCCCACGAGCAATATTTCGACGTCTCAGTTGAAATGAATTTGCGTCAAAGTTGCCATTAACGATAAAGATAGTTTCAATACCAACTGAGTATCAGCATGCAAATATTTTTTGGCGCTTTCACTTTTGCTAAATAGGTGTCAGACCGAGTTTCTCCTTCAATTTGTGTTGTGCGATGTTGTAACACAAATGGAGGGACCTACAGTTTTATGCCGCCTCCGAACGACGACAGATTTTTGTGCATATTTTCGCCTTCTACAGAGTTCGGCTTATACAGAGCGGGTTTCACTATCAGGTCATGGAAACCGACAGATTTTAACCACAATTTGTTAGCTCCTCGTGGAAGACTCTGACACCGTTTCAAGCAAGATCGAGGTTTCATGTTTAACACAAGACTCTAGAACAGACACAGGAACCGGGTACATCTTACAGATTTTCAGATAACTACAAATTGGTTGAGCTTTACAAGGTAATTCTAGTAAAAAGTCCTTCGTAAGACAAAAAAAGGCAAGACAGTTCGAAAGTATTTTGTTATTCCAGCAGACAATTCTTAGAAAAAAAGTCTCTCATTCAGCACTAGAATTTTTTCTTTTTTTATTTAAGTTTTTTCTTTTTTAATTATTTTTTTATTTAATTTTTAGATTTTATTTTTTAAAAAGAACAATTTTTTTTATTTTTGTTTTAATTTAATTTAATTTAATTTATTTTTCTTTTATTGATTACTTTTTATTGTTTTAAAAAGAAAACAATATATATTTTTTTTAAATTTAATTTAATTTTTAAAAACTTATTGCTCAAAGCACAATGGCATAATGCTAAGACCTCCTCGTTAACAGATCTTTCAATTAGTCTTTCGAAAAACAGTAAACTGCCAGTAGCGATTTTTCGAGCTCAATAAAAACCCCAACCTCCCTAAACCAAAGTATTGAGAAATTACTGCAAGAGTGCGTAACTATAGTACTCGTTTATGCCTCCTAAATCTCCCAAGCAGCATTTTGAGTCATCATTTTAGTCTTATGAGCTCATTGTTGACCAGCCAGGCTAACCTGATCTGAAGGAAAAGCATTTATTAGCTTACTTAAATAATTTATTCAAATAATTTCAAGCTTATGGCGAGATTTTGTCAAAACACTTAGCATTGCTTACAACAACATAAAATTTCTGAAACCAGCAGCTCCAACCAAAACTGTCAAAGTCACCAGAGAAATACTAATTTATTATTGTTAACTAACTAACTCTCCAATAACTTTCTTCTTTTTCAGTCAAAAGTCCTTTTGTTCTGCCATCATTTAGCAACTTTCACTATGTTATACTTTACTAGTTTACACACACACTTCGCACATTTTCACACATTTGCTCTTACTGTTATATGTATGCAATTTGTATTCCACACATGGTCACCACTTTTAAATATTTCTCACACCACTAATATTCTTTTCTTTTTGGTATTCTCCCCTTACATCTACCCTATTATGACACCAATTGTTACAACTTCACAAAAATGTTGAATGCTACAAAAAACTTTTGTGGAAATACGCGCTCGTGCGACGAACTCACGCATACATGTTAACAAAATAACAAAAACATAAAACTTTGCGAACGTGCCATACACTTCCAATCACAAAAGATAAGCCAAGGCTGGATACTTGGACCGGAGCTCTGCGACATTTGGACATCGTGCGATGTGCTGTGCTGTACAGCTTCTATATTGCATTTAGTTGCCATAGCAGTCGATAGGTGAGTACAAAGAGAAACTAAAATTTCATACACATATACAAAGATATGTGCTCATTCACTACAGCACCATTTTTCTTCCTTTGGTGGTACTGTGTTCTATTTTGGAAAAAGGGACAAAATCAAAAAAGTATCTCGATAACGAGCAGAGATAGCAAAATAAGTGTAACGGTATTATAAAGCTTTTTAAATGCAGTATTCCTGGTGGATAAAATAATTGTCTTGACCTTTAAAATTACCTTCAAAAATAGAAGAGTCTAAGTTTCTTTGTTTACCTGAAACCAGTATGCGATGAACTTTAAAAAAATTAAATACACGTTTCTACTATACTTGCGTCAACGAATCCATTTACATCGTCGCAAGAACCGAAAATCGTAGTTAATTTTTTTCTATAATTCATTACCAGCTGTTTTTGAAAGCAACAAAACCAAAAAAGAACTACTTTTGAAGGTGATTTTAGAAGTCGGATTGAACAAAAAATTACCTTGATCTTAAGAAACAAAAGTTTTTTTATTTACATAAACCATGCTATGTATCTTAAAAAATTTAAAACTTGACGCAAGAACAAAAAATTTCTATTTTTGAAGGTTGTTTTCAGAGTCTAAGTATTTGTTTCATCCAACGAGACTATTTTTCCCGAATTCTCCATTTCGAAATCTTTAATACACCGTAACCGCAGATGTTTGATTTTGTACCAGTTTTTTCCAAAATAGAACACTGTGGGTCGCGGAGGAGTATACAAAAGCAATGTTTTGGTAAATATTCGAAAATAACATAACTTTTTGCATGTTTTGCAATACAAAAACTTTTAGTTAAATACCCGACGCGCTTTAAGGTATCTCAAAGTAATTTTGCGTTAGCCAATGCGATAGTGTTGAAAAGCGTTGAAAAGCTAAATATTTTTGTAAGGTATATAGTTCATAATAGATAGAACAAAAACCATATAAACCAAAGTTTCAAAATTTGTACAAAATTAAAAAAAATTAATTTTCAAAAAAAATTTTTATTTAAAAGAAAATTTCTTTTAATCAAAATTTTGAATAAAAGTCCTAATAACCATATAGCTCATTTAATTTTTATATAAAAGTGTCGAAGGAGCTCAAAATTCTATTTGATCTTTGACATTTTTTTTTTTGTACGATGCGCCCCGCATTTTCTTCATAAGCTGCGAAATACCGTTAAAAGTTTGAAATTTTTATGAATTATTATAAATTTTGCACAAAGTTTAAAACTTTGATTTATATGTGTAGGTTTTGTTGTAGAATGAACTGCTTATATTTAAAAAAAAAAAAGAAGATATTTTTATTGATGCACAAAATTCTACCTCATTTAAAAAACACAATGGTGGTAAATAATGCATTACCGCCATTGTATGAGTTCACTCGGGTTGTAATATTTGTTTATTGAAAGTCTTAAAATATAATAGATTTTATAATTCCAATGGAAAAACAGTACCGTTTTTTTTCTTTGTATGGGGAGTGATACATTTTCATATATGTACATACATCTTCATTATTTTTAACAACCTAAAGCATTTGGTTTTTTACCCAAAATTCCACGCTTATTCGAAATTATTGGCAGCGCAAATGTTTTCCTGTCATTAAGCCCTCGTCTTCCTGTTTTGTTTTTAATTTTTCATTCTTGACATTTAATCACTTGATGAACCTAAATCATGGTTAATGATTTGCCTTTAAGGCATTGATAGACTAGGTACGAAGGTTTCATTCGGCATTACAATTGTAGGTATAAAATATATGTACATACATAGCAACAGAAACTAATACACCGACAAAACTTTAAAAATGCCAAATCTGTAATGCAAAAAGAAAACAAGCAGATAAAATAATTCAATCGAAATTGAAGCAAAAATACAAGCAAAAACAAACAGTAAAATCCGCTAAATTTAAAACACCGTTTAAAGGCCAAACACGGTTGAGTGCCACGAAATGCTATCTTTTTCGATGAAGCAACAAAGCGTTTTTACTGTGTAAAAAAATAGGTAAGTTTATACACATTCGCATACATATGTATGTATGTAGTTAGTTAGAAGTGGCGCAATATTTACAGCATTTCTACTAGTGCCCCAGTTGTCCTCTTATCGCATATATGTATGTACGTACCTATGTGTCTATCACATATGTGCATGCATATGTATGTATGTGCAACCAAACATATAGGTATCAGTTATTTTGCTTTCGATATCAAGTTAATCAATCAAACAAGGTTTATATATGTATGTACATGCATAAAAGTTCAAAACGAATTTGGCTTCCAAATAAAAATTAACAACAAAGTAAAAAAGTAGCAAATTTCTTTGCTGCATAGGAGGGCTACCCAGGCAACCATTAGCCGCGTGAGGCTGCTCATGGCCAGTATAATGAACGTAGGATTTTTGTATGATCTTTGCACCTACTGCATTCTTAAATATAACTTGTGTTAATTTTTTTTTTTTTGTTTTGTATAATTCGAACTTATTTCGACGTAGCCGGGGTTTTGTGAGCTTCGAGCTACACCTTTTACAAATACTTTCGAAACAAAAAGCAGAAAACACACACGCACAAACTTTTACACTCATAGTATTAGTAGGATTTATTTGAAATTTGTCAATTAAATTGAGTTTGAATTTTGGACTAAAATATATTTTCGAAATAAATCTTTCTTAAACCTCTCTCATTTGATACCCATATAAAGCTACTTTATTTAACTTGTTAATTAAATTGATTTTGAATTTCCAAACAGGAAGACAAGACAAGTCTTTCTTTAACCTCTGTTCTTCCATACCCATATTAAAATATTTCGTTAAATTTGTTAATTAAATGAGTTTTAAGTTTTCGGACGGATGGCAACGCTTTTAAAAAATATTCGCGAAATAAATATTTTTGAATCACTTTTTTTTTATACACACATTGTCGTTATATTTTATTTAACTTACCAATTAATTGATTTTTCCTTTTTTGTAGATGGCAGCTCTGTTCAAAGTATACCCTATATGTTAATCCAAGTTATAGCCTATCTGTACGCCAAACCCCATTAAAATGCGTTCAACTGTTTTAGCGCGAAAGAGCAACAAACATACTCACACTTACTCATAAACTTTCAAGTTTCCCTGCGCTTGATAAATTATTTTGTTAATATTGGTCCTAAGATTCAGAATCTCATATCAGTCAACTTTTGCTGGTACTACTTAGCAAAGTTTCTCGCATTAAGATACCTTTGGCAACACCAAGTCAATCCTTTACAAAGATCCATCCCCTGGATTCATTTGCTTTAGAAGAGCCCAGACTGGTTCTGGTTTCCTTAGCAAAGATCTGTCCTAGCACAAGAAAACTTAACTAAATAGCTCCCAAAAAAAAAATTACATAAAAAATTTAGAAGTTGTCGCTTAAAGCACTCCATGTATTTTATATGGGAAAACCAATTTTACGTGAAAATCAATATTTTTCGACCGAAAAACTTTGTTTCTCTTCAGAAGCTTTCCAGTAATAATACCAAATTGTTTATTTTACAATTTTTTAATACTTGCATTTTTTGTGAGTCCCCTTATTGCATTTTTTGGATTCTTAGACGTCCTGTAAAAAAATCTGCATATATTAGGATGCATCATCCTCCATGCAAAACAAATCGATACTGATTTTCCATCGGAATTTTAAAATTTATTTTGTTTTCAGACTTTCACAAATATCTTTCGGAAAAAATATGAAGATTAACCTGAGCTGTAACGATTTGAAAATACCCCAAAAAAATCGTTAATTTAATTCTGTAAATAAAATTTGCATATATTTTTACGCAGACCTGTTAAGCTTAAACTTTTATATTATCTGTGGTGGTTTTCTTAAACTTTTTTTTTAACTAACTTTATTTATATACCAGCAAATACACGGCATGCTTAATTACGCCTTAAACGTATTTTTGTGTTCTTTGATAACCGTTTTGAAAATATTTCATTTAATTTATCACTTTAATTAAATAAATTTTTCAACCTTCCTCGAAAATATTTTCGGCAGTAAACTTTCCTAATCTTCGTCATTTTGATACCCATATTGCAATATTCAATTTAGCTTATCAATTAAATTAAATTAATAATTTTCAAACAGATGGCAACCTTGAGTTAAAATATTTTCGGCTGTAAGCCTTCTGAAACCACTTTCTTTTGACAGCCATATTTTAATATTTACTTTATCTTATCAGTGTACTTAAACTGCAATTTTCAAACAGGTGGCAACTCTTTTCAATTTTTTCTTTCTATTTTTTAAGATAGAGCTCTAGCTATACATTGATGAAAGCTGCATTCAATGCCATGTAGCAGTTTTCGAGTGATGGCAGACAGACAGACAGATTAGGCCGACAGATACACAGACAGATAGATAGACAAAAATTCTAAAAATTGTTTATTTAGCTTTCTTTAGCTTTCTTCAGAGATCTCGAAAAAAAACCCTTACTCCTGCACATCTGAACAGCTGCCTTATACTGAACTTTGCGCTGTGCTTAATCGTTTAAAAATCCTGTGAACATTCTCACAATAACTACTCGACGGTCTTAGGTTGTGTGAGACTCCTAGCCGTTCTGCGGGCCTCCCTTAAAGTATGTGTCCGGTCAGGTAAATATCCCATGGCTTTCACGATTTTCAAATTTTCCACCTCAAGCCAATGAGTTTAGCTGTATTTTGCATGTACTTGAGTATTTCAACCTTGTACGTGCTTCCTTTAGGTAGAATTCTCATATCCTCAGCTTGCCTAACCTCTTCCTTCTAACTCATCTGCTTTCTCATTTCCTGGTATGTTACAATCTCCTGGTACGCATGCAAGCTACAGGGCTAACTGATTTGGGGCAGTTCGTTACCGTAGCCGTGCCCTTATAGCCGCTTGACTGTCAAAGTAGATATAAATTATATTTGCTGTGGCCGCTAATGACGTATACTGTCAACAGCTTCTTGTATTGCCGCTGGTTCGGCCTGAAAAACACTGGAATAGTCTGCGAGGCAAAGGGACCACTACAACAACAAT